TATTAAACAACTATAATCATTTCTATTGTTTAATACTTATGGCTAGTTAATCATGAATTTAGTAGATTTTCTTGAGAAAAAAAGTTTGAAATGGCTTTTTTTATTAATCATCATGTCAGTAAGAACATCGGTCATATTATATAACTTAGGGAAAATATACTTATGTAGTAATTTACATAGAAAGTGTAAGATGCAACTAAAGTTTTTCAACGCAAACAAATTAAATGTACATTTTGTATGAACCCCTCAGGAGCATATTCTAGCTGTTTTCGTTAACCAAGATCAGAGAATTTGCTTTCTACAACAGAGCGATTATTATTGTATTAACTGTCTAAATTTGAAAATAATAATTAGGTTAAGTATATTATTGAAAAGTGGGATGAATTATTCAAAAAGTATTCACACCTCAAAATATGCACGAAAACATGAATATATTTCAATACAACCATTATCATTATAATTAATACACAATTAGCGATTGTGAAACGATTATGTTGTGCTTTAACAATAATAATATATATATATATATACATCCTCCAGCGACTGGACATTAAGTGCTATAATAATACAATAATAGCCTCGAGTGATTACATTTTATTTTATCGATATTAATGAAACTTATAAGACCTTCATCATTATAGCAACACCGATGACCGAGGAACCGGCAAATCTATCGCAATTCTTATACGTTTATTATAATTATCTAATGGTAATTAACACAAATTATTCGGTAAACTTTATTGGGTAATAAGATAGCAGAATTAGGTAGACCTAACCTAACCCAAGAATCGTTTAACACGGTCATGAACTCGTATATCCATTCAAAGTGAGGGCAATTCGTACCAAGACTATCCTTCTAATCGAGTTAAGATGATTTTATTTCGGTTGGCCGAAAACAATACCTAAGCGTTGTACTTATTTTAGTACTACCAATTAGATACAATTGGTTGGTAAAAAGAAAGTAAAAACTATCTAAACAAAATACACGACAGAGAGCCGAGTAAAAAGTAAAAACACTAGTAGTGATATAAATCTAAATTACGCGTAGGTTTAGATTTGAGCTGTACGATACTCTACTTACTTATCTTAGTGTTATTCTTTGAAATTAGCCCATGGGATTATTATAATTTATCAACCGGCAACTCGTTAACAAGTCTAATTACAAGAGTAAATTAATTGTAACAGAAAGTGCATATGAGTCAAGGACAGCGCACGGCGAAACGTAATTGAAAAAAAAAACACATAATCTTGACTCATGACGAAGTGAACGAACCGATTAAATCAATACACATAAATTATTATTTATAGACATACAAATTTAAATATTGTATACATAATGTTATATTAGACGATTGCTAATTTTCACGGTTTTGCCACTCTTTTGTTTTTTTTATCGAATGAATGCTTCTTAATATAAGAACAACAGACTTTAAAAAACTAACTAAAACTAATCTGTTTCAGAGATGACCAAAAATAAATCCAAATAGACCAAGGGGTTCTTGTTTAAACTCAGGCGAAGTTGGCCAGGTGGGCTTTTTTTGTCAACTCTGAACAGCTAAAGTATCGAGCCGAGTCAGTAAGAATTTCCACCGAAATTGTCTTGTCAAACGAGGATTTTTTTTAGTTTTTGACGATTTTATTTGTTTATTGTTATTTTTTTTTTTTATTACTCTAATGGAATTTTCAACCGTCGTCTCGGACCGTTCGGACACAGTTCGGTTTCTTCAATGTGTGAGAAGCGCTGCGGTGAGAAGGCGGAGAAGTAATGGGGAGGAGCAGGTAGGGGAGGGCGAGAGATCAGGTTGCCGACCTTGATTAACGGTCTAGGCGGCGACGACGACCGACAGTGTTTTTTTTTCTCTCTCTATACATATATACATATATATATAAACTTACATACAGGTAAATATATATATTTTTTTATTATTTAATTTAGTAGGCCAGTAACGCCATGCGTACATTATAACTGGTTCGGACGGACGATGCCTCTTTTCGACCGCCGTCATCAGCCGGCACCGCCGCCGTCGATAGATAATACCTGATGCACGTATAGTCGGCTTCATGTTCGTCTAGAAACTATAGAAAGTTGTACCGCCAAAAACAACGTAAACGTCACAAGGACACGACCGACCCGCGAAACGACTTGTTGACACCAGAAATGGTCTACAACCCCCCCCCCCTCCATGGGTTATATTATATTAAAACTTAGGCTATTGTGTTGAAAAATAAAATAAAAGTGCTTCGATTTGGCAATAATCCGGAACTTTTCTTTCTATCAACAAAAAAAAGGCCCCACCTGATTCTTTTTTTTTAGTATATACATTGACCCGATAAACCCGATATTTTTTTTTTTTTTTGGTACTTACCAAACTCATACTTGGTAATGACTGTTTTTTTTTCACTGACGTTGCTGTTGCTTTTAGACCGACAGACTTTTACTACTAACATTAAGAATCATTGGATTAATATTTACCGTACAAAGTGTATTTGTATTTTATATAACGACTCGGGTTCGTTAAGTGCATTTTTGTACGTGTAATGAGTAAATTAAAAATACTTGTCGTAATCAACAAATGACGCAGTAAAACTGTCTTAGAGTTTTGATATAATAACTCTGGCACGGTTTGAGACCATTTTTTTTTTACTTAAATATAAACCTTAAGATATGATGCAACAGCCGACATGACACTACCAAGTTTTCATAGTAGAAAATCTCTATTTTAAACTCACTAATCACAATTTTCCTCAATTACCCTCAGATATGAGAGAAAAAAGCCATCAACATATTTTTTTGTATACAATTTAACCAGGTTAGCAATAACCTGAATATTTTTTTCGAAAAACCTCGACTAAGTTTTTTTTGGGTTCATCAAATGGGCATAAACTTTACACTTACATTTCGGTACGAAAAATAAATATCTTATATAAATAAAAAACAAATTTTTTTTTTCAATAACATTTTTCCGCATTTCAATTATGTAATAAAAATGTATTTATTTATTATTAAAATATCTGCTAACCTGAATTTTCGTACTTAAAGAAATATTTTCATATTTTTAAAGATGACTTATAGGTTTTTTAAATAAGGAAACATCTCAAGGTTTATATTTTGGTAAAAAAAATGTTTCTCAAATCGTTCTTAAAGAGTTTTACAGTTATTCGCCCATTAAAAGTATTAAATTATGCATCATACACAGAATTGTACATGTACGTTCATGTATGTATTGTAAGCAAATTAGTTGTTAACATTTTTTTTAAATAAAACATTTTTTTCTATTTCATTGTTTTAATTGAAAAATATTAACGTATTTCACAACATTAAACAAAGCACATACAAATTGCTGGTTAGTTTTATGGACTTTGTTTTAAGTTGCATTTACATATTTACTCAGTTTGTATGCAATTAACTCACCTTACCATAAACTATTATAATATAGTTGTTTAATCAGAGATAAAGAAACTAATGTATTTAAGCTGAATTGAACTGAAAAACGATCAATGAACGAGTACCAAACCACCGTCTAAATGTTTTTTAATCGATCGTCAAATTAATGTCTTTGGCAAAAATGTTTAAGGTCATTAATATTATATTATATCGAAACAATTAAACAAATATTTTATCGCGAATTAAAAAAAAACAAATTAGATAAACGCCAGTATATTAGGTTGCGTAACTATATATCAGTTAAATAATTTAGATTTTCTTATTATAATGTACAATAATTATAACAATATTTGATTATTGGCAAGGAAATAATGCATAAAAACAATAAACGATCGTGTTAGTTAAAATTTAACCCGACTATTATGGTAAATAATTAATTTTCTTTTTTAATTTTAATTACACAATTATTATAAACTACAAAGTACAATAATTATGTTGAACTTTTTAATCGAGTTACATAAACAATAATATAGGTACTACCGTTGGTTTTTATTTATCTGGTTAAATTCACACAAATATTAATGTTAATAATATATTTATTTAAAAAAATAATATAACAAAATATTAACTTTTGTATCGTTATGTCTAATCAAGTTAAATTATCCAACATGTTGTAAATTTATTTTTCTATGAATTTGTCTAGTGCCTGTTGTATAGACACAAGCGAGTACCGATGATTTATGAATTATACGTAAACTATGTACTAGTGCACCTTATGTGGGTTTATAAGTAAATTGAGATGTTGGTATAATGTCAAGTGTTAATAAAAATTAATATTTTATTTATTAAACAAAAAAGAAAAAAAAACTTTTATTCAAACAAAACAAGAAAAATCTATCAAAGGTCAGAGCCGTAAGCCATCGGATAAAATTCCGGTGAATAAAGTTTATGTTTTTCAAAAAACCTATACTTTAGCATATTAATAATTAGTTGATTTTACAACAATTTTACTTGAACAGCATGTAACTGTAAAAAATTAAGTTTGAGAAATTTTAATCATATCGACTTGAACAAAGTCATCTAGTTTACTGAATTTAATCAATTCTACGTTACAGATTCGTCGCGTATAAACTTAGTTTGTTGTTATTCGTAGAATGAGTCCGTTAGGCCCTAGACTTTTATATGGCCTTAACTTGGAGCATTGTATCTTTAGATACTATAAATATGTAAGATAAAACAATTTTTTTAAGGTAATTTTAGATTATTTTTCTAGTTTCAATATTTGCCCTTGCCAAGTTCAGGGTTAAACAATAATAATATTTTATTATTTTAAAGTGGATTTCTTTGTAGACTGTTAAGTGTGGTAAAAAAATGTTTAGGTATGTCGTATCGGTCAAACGGTACAACGACTTTTGGTTAATTTTGCCCGTAGAATGCCACCAGTCGGGCAAGCGTACCGCGTCGGACTTTGGGAAACTTGCCAAATTATATTTAAACACACCTGACGGGCTTGGCAAAGTTATTGAAAGGACCTTGAGGGAACCTTGCCGTCCCATTGTGGCGGGTACGTACCACCAGCTCCGATGAAGCCCGCCTAACCCTAAATGGTACTGACCTGGTAACATTGTAGTGTCCTGTCCAACCGCTGTCCAACGGACGTGGACGGCGACGAGGATGCGGCGTCGTGATGTCTGCTCCTGGACAACTTGCACACGAGCTTGTCGATACTGGCGCGAACGCACAACCGGGCACCGGACGTTATACGCGAAGCCATAGCACTGGACTGGACGTGTTCAACAACATCGGCGACCGCACCGTTTGCAACCTGCTGGTCAGCCCCACACACGGACACTGTTCGACCGGCAACTGTTGTCGCCACTCATAACGGCACAATCGACGGCGGGCTAAGACGACGGCCCAATCTCTCGGATCGCTTTTTTCACTTTTCCCTACCGTTTTCTTATCGGCGACCCGCTCAGCTGCTGCAGCTGCTGGCCGGCAACCGAGATAACGGGTCCAGTGCCGGCAACCCGCCGGCGCTTGTTGGTCACACTGGCCGACACATCACGTCGTCAAGGCTAGTGTGGGCGCGCGCGCGACGTTATCAGCTGCTGCCGCTGCTGCGGCGGCGGCGGCGGCGTAACAGCTGATACGCGGCTTTATCATAATAATAGTAATCGGTGATAACAAAAGAAAAACAATAATAACTACTGTAGTCATACTGCATACACACAAGACAAAAAGTTAATGCGATTAAACGCAACGTCAAAAATAAATTTGTGCCGTTATCGTCTGTTGTGCGTCCGAAGGCTTTTGTTCGACTTTTAGAAAAATTGCATAATACCATGTTCTGATCGGTATGGAACGACAGAGGCCTAGGAATCGCGCACCGTCCAAAGTTAAACGGTCGACCAAGGTAAGTTCGACCAATCGGTTGTTTTTGCGTTTTAGTTTATTGATATTGTTGAATTCGACCGCGTAGTGCACACTGATATAATTTACCTTGTAGAAGACTTAAAACAAAAGCAAATTATTCCAACTAATAAAACGGCGATTCTTAATTTATTTTTTTTACCGAATTATTTTGTAGGACAAAAAAGTTGATCATAGAATTTTTTTTTTATAGTCTATCCGTTGTTCAAAACTATTGTTTTGAATGACTTCTACTCTTTAATTGGGACTTACATTATTAAAACAAGTCGAAAGGTCACTAAGTAAATTCATTATGCATTTTTTCATTTTTTTCCCCTTAATCTCTTTATTTTGTTTTGTATAAATTACTTAAAATATTTTAAATTGATAATCTATTAGGCTCATTTGATACCTATTGAGAATCCACATTAGTACTTTTATTCAGATGTATTGTTTATGTAATTTCTTTCGATAATAGTTTGATACTAATTTGGTTTTTTTGTTTCAAACGTATTGAAATTAATTCTGTTAATAATATGTTTGTGAAATTGTGTTAACATTGTATTGTGTTGAATAATAAAATCAAGACTATTATCGTTATGGTACTTACTATTGTAGTATTTACTTGCTAATATATTAATGATCTCTGAATATTAATTTTCTATTATAGTCATCATAACTATAATTAAATATTATTACCACTTACCATTGTCTAACGTTAATATACATTTATAAAATTGAATATAAAACATCACCCAATCTTTCAAAGGAAACTAAAAAAAAAACGCTGTAGCTATATTTTAAATTTGTAGTGTATCGTTAACTATATAATTAAAATTGACTGGAACAGTACAATTAAAAATGACCCACAAAAATAAAATATTTTATTTTATTCATCACGGACACTATCCAAATTATAATGAAAAATTAATTTTAACTCATTAGTTGTATGTATTTGGTGTATGTTTTTAAAGGATTTTGCTCCACATATTAATCTACCTTCAGTTTTAAAAAACTATTAATTTTAAGTATTTTTTTTCAATTTATTTATTTTTAAATTATTTAATTTATAGAAATTTAAGTTAATTAATTATGATAAATTATAGTTTATTTATTAGAAATAAACGCCCAAAAAGGACGCAGTATAAGTTTGTTAATTTTATAACATATCAAACCGACCAATTTTTTTCTAAAAAAAAGATTTTTTTTTTAATAATTTATATATTTTGTTAAAATATTAAAAATTAGTTTTAGTGTGAGAATCTAGATTCTATTTTTGGTTTTCATTTCATCCTCTAAGTCTTAGAATTACATTTAATAAAATAGAAACATTTTTTGCAATATTTTTTTACAGGCAGTTGCTAGACAATAGAATAGGACTTCTAGCTTATTTGTTTTTGTATGATTTCCACGCTACTAATCCTTTGTAATACCTTGTACATGTGTTCGAGGATAAGCCAATTAATTTACTAAGTAATACATGAAATCGAAATAAGCCTGCACTAAAATATTTACTATACAAGGCAAGCCAGATTTTTCTGGTTACACATTAAATCATTCACTTTAGATGAATTTTAAAAACTACAAACTAGACAATTTTCAAAGAACGACATTTCAAGTAGATTTTTGAGTTATACTAAAAAATAAGCATGGCCAGTAAAATCCAAAATCCTATGGTAAATACAATGAAAATTAATCATTCAATAGAAAAGTAAAATCACACTATACAATAAGTCTAAATAGAAAGTTTGAACATTTCCAAACAAAACATTGCATTTATTCCAAAAAAATATAACAAGGAATTATCGATCACTTGATCCAATATTACAGCTGTTGTCTTTTATGTTCTGGTGTAAGATTTAGCATTGGGAGTACAAAGTTGATGAGAATCAGGAATGGGATGGGAAAGTGATAAGGTAGAAACAAAATTCTCTGTACGGCTAATAAGGAATTAATGATAACGTATGATTGATAAGAAACATAAAGTCAGCTGTTCATTAGACATGTTCGTAATCCAATGTCTGCTCCGAGGAAAAGATTTAAGAAACGCTCTTAGATTTTATTTTCTTAGTGAAAGCAGTTTGTGGAATATTATGACCAATTTAAAGCTTACAGTGTTTTCAGTAATCCCAGTCCCCTCAATCTCAATTTCTACTCATAACCCCCCCCCTCCACCCACATTAATATATGTATATCATTCAGAACAATAAAATTCCTATAAACCATATTATAAAAACAATAGGTACCTGCTATAAATTGCCCATTAACCGTTTAATCGTGTTTAGTGTGAACATTTTTTCCCTCTTATAGCGTTTACAAATTAATCCGTTGTTATAAACATTACCCAACTGTAATGGAGCTGTTAATTTTTTTTTTCTATTGAATTATTTGTCGCTTTGGAGTGGTGTTATCAATTCTTTGCAGGTGTGTGTGTGTGTTCGGTCGTTGCGCAACAACTAGAAAATAATAAATATTATTATTGAACCCACCGAACCCCGTACACTATAATAAATTACATTGATCTAGGTCGTGGGTTGCAATATTAGGATATTGCACACATTATGAAGACGTGTCCATCGCGCTTGTATATAATTCTCTATTCTGTAGGTAATATTTATTAGCAATAAAAAAAAAAACATTATTAATAAACTCCTAGTCGACGGACGAAGACGCGATAATAATAATATAATGTATTCATCTAACAAGCGCGACCAACAAAAAAACCTAATCAATTTTTTTTTTATGTACTCGAAAAAACCGTTTATTGTAATTTCAACACTGGCAGTCATGTAATTTAATCATTTTTATAATTTTATTACTGTTTAATAGTAATTTTGAACATAAGACCGGGGGGGAATTAAAAATGTTGTTTAGTCAAATGCCAACTATACTATACAGATTTCAGTGCAAATATTAAACTAGGCAAACCGGTATAATATGCGCACTATTATCAATAATGAACTTGCGCCAAAAGATTGTGAAAACATGTTATATTATGTCTCATACACAAACCTGTCCTTCAATTCACAATAAATGTGAATTGAAGGACATTTTTAACGGATAGAAACCCCTTTTTTTCATTTATTCTAAACGTGGAGCTGGAAAATATTAATACTGTAAGCACCAGTATGACTTAATGTTCGAATATTATTGAAATGACGATTTTTACAAGAGAGCAGCCTTTTAACATTTGATCACAGTACTTGACGCATTATCCTAATATGATATACATTTTACTAACCGCGTTAATGCAAGACTACCCTAATATTCATACTCTCTCAGATTATGTAGTAACCTCATTTGAGCCAAAAATTACTGGCACTTTTTAGTTTTTTTAAATTAAGCCATTGCTGTGTTTTAAATTAATTTTAGTTTTAACCGAAGCTGAGAAGCTTTTTAAAATTTAATTTATCTTTACCCACGATAACTTCTTACTTGCTCGACAGATTTATTTTTGTAGCAAGTTTTGTGGATATTTGATTTTTGTCATCTCATCTAACCTAACAGTTACACATAAAAATTATGTTGCATATTTAAAAAAAAAAAATCTGTAGTCAATCGTTTTTACCTGGAACACGTTTTTTGAGAGAAATTAAACTGGTAACAAACATCACGGCTGCCTTAATACCAAACCTCACCTAACCAAAATAGGTTTGCAGGCTACAGTCTAGATCACAGGCTTAAAGTTCACGATCCGATGTTATTTCCATCGAGGGAAAGAATGCACCTATTTTACGGACTTTTTGGTTTGTTGTCTTTGTCCGATACAGGTAAAAGTCGAACAACCCGAACCGGTCGACGACGACTTGCTGACGACATCGGTGGACGACGTGGCCAACGCTTTGTACGAGGCCTTCAACGACATCTGCGAGAGCAATGATCGCGTTGCCGAAGAAACGGACGGCGTCGTCGTGGATAGATCCTGCCAGGGCGGCGATGATCAGATCTCTGTGGATCGACAACCGCCCGTTGCTCTTGGCTCCTCGGCCGACCGCGGGTCCATCGTGTTGCCTTCGTCCATACCCTGTTCGGTGGGCTCGCTGCCCACGCCCTGTGCGCCGGCCCTCGACGATTTCCGGTCAAGGTCTGCCGGACCCAGTGGGGAGGTTCCGAATTTCGAACCGCTGGACCCGTTAACCGACGAACAGCTGGCCGCCTACTACCGGAACTCGCTGTTGTCCGACCTGCACGGCTACACCGAAGACTTTAACCGCGCCGAATTAAACAACTTACACGCTTGCGTGCACCCGTTGTACGCGCTGCTCGAAGACTACGGGCGGGCCAGGCTCAAGTTGGAAACCGCCAAAACGGAAATCGACGAGTCCAGGACCTCCTACGAGACGCACGTCAATCACATATGGACGCTGGAACCGGCCAGGTACACCGAGTACGGAAAGTGCAAGGTAACACTATTTATCATGTCCTAGTCGAGGGCGGATCGACAGGTTTTCTTGGACCTGGAACGGCGGTTATTTGGGAGGGAGTAAACTGGTAAAAAGCAGAAGAGGCGGGGAAGGGATGCGGATAGGAAGAGAAGGGACGGAGAGGGTAAGGGGTTTAGACGTGATCCGACGCCGGAAAATCGCACATTTTGCACACAAACGATGACGCGATACTCATTGGCTTTGTTATGGTATTTTTTTTTTTAGGACGGCTATCCCGTGTCGGCCACCAAAGAGTATCAAATATCTAGGTTTAATCAAAAGGCTCTCGACAACCTACTGGAGTCGCTGCAAAGGTTAAGAACGCTAGTCAACGGCTACTACGGAGTGCTTTACGACTGTCAAATGATCAAAGAGGAGGTAAATGGCCGTCTGGACAACACTATCGAGGGGCGCGTAGTAATTTTTATGCACGATCGTTTTCAGATTGACTATTACTTGCATTTGTTGTGTCGACCGTTTTCCACTATATCGGCAGACACTCCAGTTGGGCTGTTTTTCAACTCTGATGTACGCAGTCCGGACGGTAAGAACCTTCAGCCGTGCATCGAAAACCTCAAAGCCGCCGTATCCGTCTTGTTCGTATACCAAAGAAAACCGATCAGAGACCAAGTGTTCGTGCAAGACACTAGACAACTGTTGCGAAAAGTCATTGGCGTCTTGCTCAGAGTGGCCTCGTGGAAAGACCACGTGTTTATTTTAAATCACATTTTGAGGTAAGCGCCTCAAGTTCAGTGCACGGGTGAACCAAATCCATCACAGCCGATTTCTAGTAATTAGCTCCTAAATTGTTTTTCGCATAATCTACTCTGTGGCACAGCGCAGTGTACCCGTTGTCGTTTTCCGGCATTGAGAAGGACTTGGTCCGCTGTGGCACTGAAAGATATTACTTTTATGCCTGTTTTGCTGGGGAAATCTCACAACGTGAAAACAAATGCACTCCAAATGTCACGAATTTAACGTGTTCATAATATATACATTGTAGTATTATGTTAACGTTAAAACAAGACTAATCGAATTGCTACTTTTGCCCGGCTAGGTGTCCGTCCGGTGTCGGCAAATGGGCCAGCGATTTCGTTCAAATACCGTTGACCGATGCAAACTACTTGGACGGCAATTTTCATTTAGACTGCATGATAACGTCGTTGGCTGTCGTCTTGTTGCCCGTCCGGTGTCGAGAAAATTTCCTCGAACAAGTCAGTGTGTATTTTCGATGTTGTTTTTCAAAGCAAGCACGTTAAAATTTTGGTTTTTTTTTTAATTGGTTTAGGTTTACAAGAGCGAAGAAGTCAACGAAGCCATCTGGGTGGTAGTGGACAGCGAAGGCGAAGACGAGTGTTCGGAAGACGGCCGGCATTGTCTTCGCGAAAGTGATATCGTCGCCCTACTCAGTCAAATACCGTTTTCGGCTCTTTTCAAGAAGGTAAGTGGTGTGTGTGTGTGCGTGTGTGCGTGTGTGAGTGTTTTTGCATTTTATTTTTGTTGTTTACAGATGATTTCCACACACGTTGCCGGCGACCAAGGGTTTCGCATAAACCAATGGGATGAACCCGACCTGTTGAGACTGATAGCCGTCGGCAGTGTTCTGATTAAACTGTTCCAAACCGGGCTGAAAACGTATTGCTCGAAGTCGGTAGAGTACAAGCAGTTTTCCAAAAGACTCGGACACCTGTTGCAGGACGTCGTTAACTACGTTACCGACACATTGGAAGAGTATACGTAAGTAGTAGTTGGCAACATTTTCAACCCAAAATTGTTTTTACCCAAAACATTTATACCTGAAAAATGTCCACTAACCTAACCCAACTGGCCTCACCAGAAATCAAAATACTCAGTGTGTTCCACTTAAAATAATTAGATCATGTCTGGTAAAAATACTGCTATAAGAATGTTTAATTTTCAATTTAGATGTCATAAATACGTGTCGGCGAGGGTGCAAACGGAATATGACGCCTTTTTGGACCGTGCCGTCAAATGTTTGTACGGAAACGTCGACAGGACTACGTGGCAATACTTGGTGATGTTACCTTTCAGTCACATGTCTTCGCAAACTTCTAAAGATTTATTTCAATACCTTCTACACATCAAATCAGGTATAACTATTATAATATAGTATTTATAATTTTTTTTTCGTTTAACGGCTTAGCGTTTTTCTCAGATCCCAGCGAGTGTTCGCTAGAAGAACTCACCGATTGCGTCGCTAACTCATCCGATGACGAGTGCTATTATCTTCTGACAACGCTCAACAACATGGCTTTGAGCAGAGACATGAAAGACATTGAATTCATTAGCTCGGTCACTACTAGTCTATTCAAAGTAAACGACGTTCGATATATTTGCGACACATTTTTACGATAAAATTTATTAATTGTAATTGTTCTTAGATCGGATTTGTAAACAACTCGACCAAAGAGAAATGTCAAAAGACTTGTCGGGCTCTGCTCTCGAATCTTACCGATAAGCATCCGTTTCTAATTTCTGATATCTTGAGCGTACTTAAAAAACATATTGATGAAGTCGGTTCAGTACGTAGACGCTTAATGATATTGATATAATAGTCGGAGTGAAAATATGATTTTTTTAATTTTCTAGGGATCGATGTATCTTTTTAAAGAACTACCGTTGACGAGATGGAGGCTAACTGCCGACGATTTATTGTATGTTGAAAATTTGATATTAAACAATCCTATTGCGTCGACACAAAATACATTAAGTCGTCATATACTCACAAAGTTGTTCTCAGAATGTAACGAGACTGATATAAAGTAACTTATTTGACTAAAAGTGTTAAAACATTTATCTTTTTAAAAGTCAAACTTTTTGTAATATTATATTCTAGTGATTTGATGTTGACTAAAGACATGCACGGACGTATCGCTATCATTGTTGTCAAAGCCGTTTTGAAACATGCACCCATCACAGTCGACGAAACTTCTGCACAGTATTTAGTTCACAGTATAAAACAAGTAAATTGCAACTTGCGTAAAAAAATGTATCGAAGTTCGTTTTAAATGTTTTTAAACACTATTTCAGCTGGTTCAAATCAAATCCAACGAACAAGCGTTTCGAATTTGGGCATGGAAATTGTTGTATTCTTTAAAGCTACACTTGATGGACTTACCGAGCTTGATCGTTCGAGGATCACTGCAAGACATAAGTCATTACTTACTATCGGTCGTCGATATTGAAACAATTGACAGTGTAAGTAAAAAGAAAAAGGTACTTTATTTGTGTCAAATGTAACTTAAGTACTGTTGTCGTCGTAGGACTTAAAGTGTCTGCAGGCGGACGATCCAATTGCGCTGTATACAGCCGTACACGTAACTACAGCTGGTCATTGTGTACCAGTGATATTACACAAAGGGTTAGATTATTGTTATAAGTTGCTGCAGTACAAACACTATACGGCGTCGATAGCGTGCTTGAATGCAATGGTTCCGTTCTTCTTTGAGCAAAACGAATGTCTGCTGGAATCGAAAAAGTAACTCGACGAAACAATGATGATGTTTCAATAGGGTACAGTTATAATTTTTTATTAGGTTTTTGGTAATAGTCGCCGGTATACTGGCCGATAATCAGAGTAACGCCAAACGAGCTATGAATATTTTGACCGTCCAAGGACCTTCCGAAGTGATCGTACAGTTCAACAACATGATCCAGTATCAGATATCCAACTATATGCGATACGGCCTGATGAGTTCACATCCCGTGTTGGAATTATGGACCAAAGTCGTGTGTTCTATTTGGAAGACAGCCGAATCCGATACGTGCGTTTACGTATTGGACACTATTTTTAAGAACGTTGTACATTCTCAATCGTTGCAATGGGCTCGTGAACTTCTGGCCGATCTCATAAACGTAAGCCTTTTGAATTTTCACTGGTAACAAATAAACAAAATTAACACGTCTTTTGTTTATTTTTCCACGATTAGCAATTCAGCGACTTCAAGGATAACGCCACAGCTATTGGTTCGATATTCAATTTCATGTTTCATAGTCCAGAAAAAAGACCTCTGTTGCTGCCAAAGTATCCGACAGTGTTGTCGAACTGTCCTTACTACGCCGTGTTGGCGTTGGAAGCTGAAGAATGGTGTGTTCAAAGCAGGAATGATGTGTGGAAACGTTTGTTGACCAAACTACAGTCACAACAAGGAAAAGCGAACATCGACGACGCGCTCAAGGTAGGTAATTGACAGTCGGTTAAAATTATGCAGTTTCAAATCTTCTCCTCGATTGTTGCAGAGAGTTTGTGCCGAATTAAAGTTACCGTATTTTTCGTCGGGCCATCTGTCGTTGTACCGATGGATGCAGTATGGCCTAGAGGTACCTTGCAGCCATCCTACGGCGTTTATTTACTGGCAGAATTTCTTTCGGTTGTACTTACAACGCATTCCCGGGTAAGCCGCCATATATTTCCTTTGTGATAATTGTTAAAATAAAATGTTTGTCATTTAGCTCTCAACATCACGGCAGCGTCGGCCGTAAGTTTTTCGAAGGGATCGTCAATTCGTCGTACTTAAGCAAAATCAACAACAAACTGAAAGAATGCGCTGCGTTGCATCGGCAAAAACTGCTGAGCGAACCCAATTCCGATATAGATTCGCGCTCGGCCAGGTTTGCTTGTTTTAATTAAGTGTATAATTTTGTTGTTACTCAAATTTTTTTGTTTATTGTGTTTTTAGATTTTTCGAAGCGTGCATTCTCTGGCTGACCGACGTCCGTCTGCTCGAACCCACCTTGTTCATACCGTCTTTGGACTCGATATACGAACCCAGTGAATTAACACATATCATAAACGGCTCAAATGTAATAACTTAACTGTTATAATATTATTTTTTTATGTTATCTTAACTCCTCAGAATACATTGTGTGTATATATTTTATTGTCTCGAAGGAATGGCTGCCACAGTTGATTAATAAAACGGCGATCGAAGAATCCAAAATAGAGTGTTCGAAAAATTGGATCGAGCTGATGGGCAAACACGTCCAAAGTGCTCCGAGGATACAACGGAGAAACACGATTGAGAAAGATCCTATAACAAGAATCGTCAATCGATTGAAAACCTATGATCCCCCGTCGCCTAGTCCGGAGTTTACTCTGCGGCTGTCCGACGTCCATTTGATAACCAGCGACATACTCTACCACAATGATCGTTTACTCAACGTTTTACGAAATAATATCAAACAAATAGTGGAGTTCATCGAGTAAGATTTGTCGAAAACAAATAAATCTGTTATATAGCTTGTGTCAACTAACATATTTTGCACGGTTATTCTAGCAACGTGTACAGAGTGCATACGGTCCGGCACGACACGTTGGACAATTGTTACGCAGACGGTATCAAAGTGTTGTACAACCAAGTAGACTCCGTTATACGGGTGCAAGCGGTTTGCGATTCCAAATTTAAAAGGGCCAATAAAATGACTGGCGTAAAATGTGCTGGAGCGGCTGAAATTTCGTTTCAAGTATGCGAACGTCAATCGCTATGATTTTACCCACTAACTGTTATATATTGTTTTTTCCAACAGATTCGTGAAACCAAATTGAATACGGACGTGCAAGATGTTATTGCCGAAAACAGATCGGAACTGGATCAGCTGATTAGTAAGACTCTAGAACTTTCGTTGCCGTCGTCTTTGACCTGTGCGTGTACCAACCTAAACCTAACTACTCAGTAAGTGTTGTTCGGACCCATTTAGATTTCTATGAATACTAGTAATTTTCTATGTCGTCTACAGGTTGTTAATCAGCGAGATCAGTACCCTATTGAAAGTAGGAGACGTCGCTTTGGTCGCTGAACTTCGGTCTTCGGGAGTCAAATTTTTTTACATGCTCTTGTCGGAATATACGATTTTAAAAACTTGCCCGACGATTGAGAAGTTTGCGTTTGTCATTTTACAAACTGTTGGCAAAGTACGCTTACAAACTTTTAATGTATTTTTTAATATTATTTTAATATTATTATTTTTTTTTTCAGGTTTTTATTATGAACAACGAAAACGAATGTCTTCACATCATGAACAAAGCTTTGAGCTGTCCTGAAATGTCGAACATAGTAGTGCCGCTTTTTTGCCCGTCGTCCACGTCAACAAAAACATTTATATCGGCTTATACAAATATTGTACAACACTGCAACGCCCAGTACGAACCAATCGCCAAAGAATTGCTCACAAAGGTGAGTTCATAGATTGATTAATAGTGCTACTGGCTTTGTAGTTATTGTATTGATATTTTTACTAAACGGTTTAAGTTGGTTAAATTAATTTTAAAAATACACTATTTATTTAATGTTTCAAGTTTGACGTCGCCGCCTGTCTGTCCACCAAGCAACCGCTTCTCCAAGAACGTTCCGTTTTAATCGATCATTGTCTGAGCGCTTTGATAATGGTTAAGCAACAAACACGGACAGATTATACGATGGCTGTTCATGAAGTTAGTCTAATAATATTATTTAATTAGCCTAATTATTACATTCAGAGTTGAGCAACTTTAATTCAAGTTATTTTTTTCATAATTTGTTTCAAATAATTTTTTTATTAATATAAGAATAAACATAATTTAGTTGAAAAAATTTTTTGTTGTTATAAGGATGACTTAATTTTTTTTTCCTAATAAAATACTATCTAATCAATTATTTAAAAAATTGTTGATAAATAAATATTTATATAATTGTTCAATTTTTTTTTTTTCAATTCACCCAAAAACATATTTTTGTATACATATATATATAAAAAAAAAATGGGAACTCGACTCAACTAATTTCTAATAGAATATTTTCTTAGCTCTTTAGCGAACACTTGTGCCGAATAATGGATCACGACTTTCCAGAGCATTACGGCGAAATATTGCTCAAGCTCTTGGAACATTCCAAAGAAGGTCGTATTTACACTCAAGTGTGGTTTTATATTCTCAATACGGTGTTGGCCCAGGCCGTGCCTACAACGCAAACCAACTCGAAGAGAACGATTTTACTGCCGAACATGTCCGTCGTGCAATTGAGAGACGTCGCCAGACGTTACGCCACCGACCAACGATCATTGAGCTCGCAACAAGTAAGTTGGTGGTGAAATTAAAAAGAAATTTTAATATTTACGCTATAAAATAATTTCTAGCTACAAGAGACTCTGCATTTGTTGACTACTCATTTTTCCAATGAAAGACTCAAAGCGGCTACCGGCGAACTCTACTCCCAGTACAACACATACATCGAGCCGTTGGTGTGCCTGTACGCAATGGTCGGTCACGCTTTGATCGTGGGCACGTTGCAAACCTACCGCGGAATGTTGGCCAACCAGAGTATGTGTAAAATACAAATATTATGTTAATGTGTTGTCGACTGAAATATAACTGTGTGTTTTTGTCTGTCCATTAGTTTGCGAATTCTTGGTGCCGGCCCTCGTTAGCATGTTTGGTCCTTGGCTGGAACCATGGTACGAGGGATGGAATGCCGACAACAGATTGTTAAAATTGCCGTGGTTAGCGACCGATACGTCTGCAGCGGCATTGATGACCGACGTTCTCGTTGAGTGCATTATGTTCGTTCTGGACACTATGCCGGGTAAATAGCTATCGAGAGTCAATCGTAATTTGACTATTAAATAAAAATAAAAATAAATTTTTTCTTTTGTAATATGTAGCTTGCGAAAATGTTTTGAGTTTCGTCTGTCAGTGGTACGTGAAAATGTACGCTCACATGCAAACCACGGATTATGTCTTCGATACAATACATTCCGGTCTTGCGAAACTGTCGTGGCAACGTTTCATACCCACTCCCGTCGACATGGATTTAATCATGAAGGTACTGACGATTTGATTTTCACACTTGTGTTAAATATTTATTAGTTTTTACTTTTGATAAAGGTAATGGACCAGTTTTTACCACAGTCGCAGAGTTTTTTGGCCAATGTTATTTTAGAAGTCCCGTGGCCGTACGTACCCAACATTGATTTACGGGTTTTGTTATCGATGTTCATCAAACTTTCGAATCAACCCAACATGAGAAAGGTAATTCAATAGTGTTAATAGCATATTTTGTGATAACAATTTGTACGACTGGAGGAAGTGTGGTCATTAAAAAAAAAAAGTTAGTAGGAAGAAACTTGATGGTTTGTTATTATTTCAGGACAGTAAAATCAGACCGCTCTTGTTGGAAGCTCAAAAATTATCTTGGCACCAAATCGATGGAGAGACTTATGAAAATATTCTCAGCTGGTTCACGTCAAAATACGATCCGTTGACCGTTCTCCAACTGACCAATGAGGAATGGTGCGGAACCGATTCAGCGGTACTCGAGTAAGTCGTGGGAAAATCACACAATACTTTTGTAAAAATTAACGCGAAATTTTTCATCTATTAGCTTGCTCAAGTCGGCGGCCGGTTACCACAACGCTGATCACAACTTGCCGTACACCGAACCTATGTCGTACAAGAGACGCATATTTATTCGTGCTATGGTAAGAATGTTTGTGTCAATGTCTTCTCGATACCGATCCATGCTGGGCAGCCATTACAAACACATCAAGTGCTCGTTCAACCGTTTGTTGGACGAAACTGAAATGGCGACCAAACACTGCGAAGAAGCCAAGTTGCTGGTCGCAGAGTTGTTGGCTTTGGTCAATCAACCAACTGGCTCGGTGCTTTCGTCGTTGATGCTGCAAACGATTCAAGAATGGATCGCTCCAAGAAAAGCCGACAGTGCTGTGATGAAAGGTATGTTGATGGCCACGTGGTCGAACGTCGCCGACCAGCAACACAAAGGCGACATACTGGAAGCCTGTTTGACGGCGTGGTTTAGGAATTCTGGTAAGTCCGCTTTTGTATGAGCCATTTGTCTTGACAAACTCTAATGTTTTCCGAATACAAACACAGGAAACGAAGACCAGTTCAAATGGGACAGTGCGATGGCATTAGTGCAACCGGCAGTCCGATTGCACTATCAGGGTTTGGCCGAATCGTTAATGTCTTCTGGCAATATACTCACTCTTTACGTGCTGGCTTCGAAAGAATCACAAAACCGATCACTGTACCCGGACTTACTAAGCACTTTGGTACAGTGTTTGGAGTCGGTCAAACCCAGGTAAGTGTGTTAGAGCTGTTCCTGAAACAATATTATAACTAAGAACATTAACATCAGTACATTTGTCTTCTTTCAACTTACGTTTCCTATAAATATGGAATCTTTTTATTTTTTTCTCCAGTAACTTGTGTGAAAACAAACTGCCTCTGTTGTGGTCGTTGGCCTTGCAGTTGAGCACCATCGAGGACGACTACACTGCCGACCATTTGATCAGAATCGCTAATGCCGCGACTCAGTTGGCGCTGCACAAACAGAGTTGGAGTTTATTCGACGCCATTCGATTGCAAAAACAAACAAACATCACTCCCAAGTGAGCAGAGTCACAGTTTTCAATTGTACATTTTAGTATGGATTACAAAAATTTGGCCCTATCACAGGTGCAGAGTGTTGTGTCGTGCTTTGGCGGCTTTCATTCACGCTCAGTTGCCGGAAAACAAAACCAGTCGCAGACAGTTCATACGGCACCACGAAAACGCTCCCGGCGGATTCTCCAGCAACGACAAGTAAGGATAATATTATCGATATGACTCAAAGACAGTTTAAGTGAAAGTTTAACCTAACCTATTGTCATGTTGTTTACAGCGATTTCGTGTCGTCAATGGAATGTCTGAAGGCGACGGCTGCGTTGGAAGCTCTGAAACAAGACCGACAGTTTGCCGACTGCAATGTCGCTATCGACGTGGCGATCAAAGACATCAAAGGGCCGCACAGCTGCATGAAGAACGGCCAACAGTTTGTAATCAAATTGGCCAAGTGCTTGTACACCGATAATTTTATTCATCGTCTGGCCCCTGTGTGATATCTCTTGACTCAGGTCCTATAATTCGGCTGTGATAAAATATTATATACTGTAATTGATATTGGATTTGTTTTTTTTTTTTTTTGTACTATTAATTTACTTTTCACATTAACTTTTTATTTGCCGCTTTCATATAATATTATGGTTATTTGTTATTCGTTTATATTTGTAATATTATTTTACACACACACACACACTATTTTGTTATAACGTTACGATATTTCGGTAAACCGATATTTTTTTAATATTACATAACTAATTATATTGTGATCGATAATGTACCTACTGACTTTTTTTTTCCACCTTTTTAAAAAATATAAAAGGCGCTTAGGTTTAGCTTTTTTTTTTAGGTTTTACTTCTTTAAGTTACAATAAAAAACCGGTTGGATAAAAATATAACAAAAAAAAAAAAACAATTATTATTCATAAGGATAAAACGGACACTATACATAAGCAATAAGGCCGAGTTAAATGGCTTATTTACGGTTACCACGACCCTGGAATTACTCCACACTATTATAAACGAGTTAATTGTGACAGGCCTAGACTAGAAAAGAATAAAAGTAATAAACGTGTTTCAAACAAATAATTGACGTTATTATGGTCTTATTAAAAAAAAAAAAAAATTTTCTGCAGCCCACTAACAATAATCTTATTTAATGAATACAAAATAAATTAGTTATTCTTATCGCTTTCTGAAATTCGATTAAAACTATATAGTAAACGGACAGGAATATATTGTGTCTTCACCTAATAAAAAAAACCTAATATTATTATGTTATATACTTAATGCAGCCGAGCAAATACAAGGCAAGGTCGTGAAAACCAATAACGCGCAGTAACTTAAATTTAATATTTTTTTATTATATAAGCAGCAATGTTAGGCAGTTTGTTTAAGAACATACGTCAAGCTGATACATATGTAATGTACCAATTTGTTTATACTGTAAATTCAATTTGAACTTTTTTTCACATATTTTTAATTTAGATATATGTCTACAAATTTGATCTCAAACATATTATATATAATACACACACACACTCAACACATAATAATATATATATATGTATAACTTTATGATTAGAAAAACATTTTTTTTATTATAATTTTCCCAGTCTTATTATTTACTTAAGCACACAACAAAACTGTATTGCTGATTGTAAATAACTAGGTAATTAAAATGTATATTATAGTATCCATTAGTAGGTATGAATGATAATGGATATTTTATGGAAACGGCAGATATTAATAATGATCCTTATAACATTATCAGCTATATTATTAATGAATTGGTTTTAAACTTTAACAGTACATTTAGTGCGTTGTGAGTCTTATATTAATTAATCATCAGAAAATAATTACTCATTTTGAAGTTATTCGCCGGCAATAGAAAATAAATTAGATTTTTCAAATAAATATACTAAAAGATATTATACGTTAAATGGACTCTTTAATTGGCTAAAGTTAAATTGTCATCTTTCAATAATTTATATACGAACATAAAATAGAACCTGAAACACAATTTGTTTTTAAATCAAAAAAATTACTTTGTGTATAGAAATGAATTTATTATTATATTATTAGTTTACGCGTTAGTAAGTCTCGACACCATTTACATTATTAGCATAATGTAAGCAATATTTTTTTATAAATACTAAACAAAAAACAAATTAAGTTATCTATGAAATATATATATATATATATTGTTTTTAATTTAATATTCATATCATAGTTAAATTAGATAAATTAGATAAATAATAATATAAGTATAAAACAGTAAAATTGAAAACATTGAAGACAAAATTACAAAATGTACCACAAAATTACACTAACGGGTATTAAAAAACAAGTCCTAACGGATAGAACTCCAACAATTTACTCTAAGATACGCTAACTTACTAAAATGTACTCTAAGATTACTTATAAATTACAATAATAACACTAACGGGTATTGAAAAATAAGTCCTAACGGATAGAACTCCAACAATTTACTCTAAGATACGCTAATTTACTATAATTTATTCTAATTTAGACCATCCATGGACGTTTACGTTTCTTCGAAGAAGACTTTACTTCTTCGCTTGTCTGAAATAATAGAATAAAAATGAATTTTGGCTTTTATAGTTTGTAACGCGATTGCGACGGGGATGATACGTACCAAAGCCGAAGACGGTGACGGTTTTCTGCCAACAGACTTGTCGTCGTCGGACGACTTCATGGCACCGGGACGACCTCGTTTAACGTCTCCCGCGACGAAATCGGTCAGCTTTCTTTTGACTGTCGTCTTAACTTTTTCGATTGATCCGGCGAAGGCGACAAAGTGCTGTTCCGGTGCACTAACCGTCGTGTCGCAGTTGTCCAACGAGACTGACAAGTTCTTCTCGGTGTCATCGCCCGAAACGGTGCTCTTCTTCTCGGCGACGGACGGTCGGACCAGTTTCGTCTGGACGGTCTGGAGGTCGCATATCTGCAGGGCTCACGAGCGAAGGGCGGGTTGGTTCCCTGTGCCGGGGCCTCAACCGCTTAAGGCGAAGACCGGCTGGGGGTTGCCCCGTCGGCTATTGGGCCCCCCCCCCTACCCACGGTTTGTTATCGGTGTTTGCCCTCACCTAGACGATTGTCTTACCGGACTGACGGGCTCGTCTACCCGGGGTGACTCTTAGTCTCACCTCTCGCCCTCGGCCTACTAGCGTTGGGTAACCCGTTGCCGGTAGCCCATGGGTTCATCGAGATGACAAAGCCCTTCCACCGACGTCAAGGTGGTCACCCGAGGAAGGGGTAGGTTTGACGCGTATTAAATGGAATTAGACAATTGTATGTATTTACGTTTGAATATTTTCATACTTTGTACTCATCAGATACTATGTAAATAATAATAATTGTATAAACGAACATTAAAACATATTAACGGCCGCGGTTTTCAAAAATCTGTCGTATCAGTAAGCATACTACTCTTGTGTTAAAGGGGGATGGAGTGTCTTAAGTTTGACCACAAGGAGGTTGACACTAACAACTGTTTGTTATATTACTTGTCTATATAAAATATACTTTTAACCATTTTTTTTTTTTGAACATGCAAAAGTATAATAGGGAGGTGGGGGGGGGGTCCTACGTTGTACTTGACGAATACTGTACGAACAATAATACTATAAACGTACTTACCCATTGCTCGACAAACGCTATTTCGACTTCTGGAAAACCAAAAAAAAAAATGCTTATAGAAAACTCTATACTTTCTTACGACAAAAATTGTTTTGGTTAAATCTAAAATAAAATAAACGATCATTGTTTATTAATTGACCGGGCAATTTTGTTTTTATCCGTAGCTAAGTGACTTATCAATCGTGTATGCCGAACAACAAATATTGTTATAACGGCCGGTACATTATAATTTTTTTTTAGACAAGCATAATAGCATAATATATAATAATCAAACGACTACACAAAACTATAAGACTTTTTTACAAAAAAAAAAAAATATATATATATAATAAATTCAAACGAAATAAATATTGTTGTTATAATTTAAAAATCAAACGAATAGGTGATAAATGTTACCTAGAAGGTTCAAATTGTTAAATATTATTTCATAGCTAAACAGCTAATCGTTTATTTATCCTGTATACAAATTAAATAGATAGCACTTTTTTTTAAAAATGATAATTCATGTTAATGTGGGATCACATTTCCAAAATTTTCTACTGTCGGTTAAATTTTGGATAAAAGATTCTTGCCCGGTTGCACCAAACTTTTCGTTATCTATTGGTAAATTATTTACCACCGCAATAAACTAACTTTTGTTAAACTTTATCTTTTGTTAAACTTTATCTTTTGTTAAATTAACGTGTGATAAATTTACGAGTGTTGCTCAATCGTCGTTTTATATTCAGGTTATTACCAGTTTATCGATTATCGAATAAATGGTATCAGCAGTAGGAGTTAATATACTATCATCATACAGGGATCAATGATAAACTGATGGTAAACCATCATTAATTTCTGTTGTTTTAAAAAAACAACATTTTATTGATAACAAAATTTAACTATACATATATTTTTACACAACGATAAATGACCCTGTAATTTAATGTAATTTTAGTATATGTTTTATTTGTATAAATTTATAAAAAAAAACATTTAAATAATAATAATAATTGAAATATATTTGATTGTTATTAGGTAATTAATAATAAAGCAATCAGTTTTAACGGACTAATAACAGAAAACTGTTTCACTAATAAGTAATAACTAATAACTATTACCTAGCAAAGCGGTTTTAATTTCAATAAATCTAGTATTTCGGTATCCATTGAAAAACAGATAGTTGGACGGAAATGACCTCATAAAATTTTCGACAAACTTTTTACTGCCGTTAGTGTCGGAGGAAAATACATTTTAAAGAATAATCATTAACTAAAAACAAAATGAAACCCTTTTCGCTTACATACAGGGTGACACACAGCTGAGGATTCAAATAAAAAAGCCAAAAAAAATGTACACAATTACTACTGTACATACAGTTGATAATATTTTACCATCGGGTAAAACTATTTGTATTTGATGTGTTTTAAATTCGTACCGACTCATTAACTTTTATATTGATTTCACACCAAACCTCAAAAAAAAACGTCGGAATATCATGACATATACGACGTAACATAAAATAGTTTAACAGTAAAAATTGGTTTTAATTTTTGTAGGATTACGGTTAAAACTGTGAAGTATGAATTAATATTAAACGAATACACAAGATAGTTGTATGTTGTCTGAATAATTTCCTAATGTATACTAAATAATAATATACTATTGGAATAACATACCTGTATTGGAATTGGTCGACAACTGATTTTCAAACAATCTGACAGCAACCCTTTCGACTTCTGGAAATTTCTGTCATCCTAATCTTTGTGATCACTGTTCCAATTAGATGGTCACAGCAAAAAAAAAAAAAATGTAAGAAAACTTTAAACTTTGTTACGAAAAAAAATCTTTCAGTTGACATAAAATTAAAATGGTTATTGTTTACAATTTATTTATATCGACTAGGCAATTTTGTTTATTCCGTCACTAAGAGTCACTTACTTGACAACGTTATAAAACAATAATTATCTCGTTAAATTATCAACAAACATTGGCCACTGTCGGAGAAGAATGTAAGACAAATCAATAATTTAAGATACGTTTTTACAATAGTATTGAAAAATGTATTTCATACTTGAGTGAATTATATCATTA